TGATCTGTACTTCTCCACAACTTTGTTCCTGACATGTTTGGAGAGCTCTTTGGTCTTCATGGTGCCGCTTTCTTGGTGGTTCCCCTTGCTTAGTAGTGTTGCAGACTCTGGGGCCTTTCAGAACCGGTGTATATATACTGAGATCATGTGACAGATTATGTGACACTTAGATTGCACACAGGTGGACTTTATTTAACTAATTATGTGACTTCTGAAGGTAATTGGTTGCACCAGATCTTATTTAGGGGCTTCATAGCAAAGGGGGTGAATACATATGCACGCACCACTTTTCCGTAATTTTTTTTAAAGATTTTTTTTTAACAAGTTATTTTTTTCAGTCCACTTCACCAATTTGGACTATTTTGTGAATGTCCATTACTTGAAATCCAAATAAAAATCCATTTAAATTACAGGTTGTAATGCAACAAAATAGGGAAAACGGCAAGGGGGATGAATACTTTTGCAAGGAAAGTATTTTCTAAATAATCTGAAAAAAATAAAAAAATAAAAAAAAAATAATAAGAGCAACAATAGAATAACAGTAACGAGGCTATATACAGGGGGTACTTGTACGGAGTCAATGTGCGGGGGCACAGGTTAGTCGAGGTAATTGAGGTAATGTAGGTAGAGGTAAAGTGACCATGCATAGATAATAAACCATTTGTAGCCATTTGATTAGCTGTTCAGGAGTCTTGTGACTTGGGGGTAGAGGATGTAACTCTCTACAGCTTATCAATCAGTCTAATACTATATCATCATATGAACCCATTCAACTTACAACATGTGTATTTGCACACAAGTCATCCTTGAGTTATGTCAGATAGGCCAACTACCACTTTAGACTAAACCTAAAATGATCCTGCCATTATCATTAGGATGGGCTGGCCTTCAGGCTAAGCACATGTTTAGTATCTTCAAACTGTTCTTCGATCCAAAACCACATTTTCCAGAGTTATCTCAAAGCTTATTGGCCACCACTCAGGATAATAGTAGCTGCAGTCCCAGATTTGTTTGTACTGTTTTGCCAACTCATATGGTTATTGTTGGCAAGACAGCACAAACAAATCTGGGAGCAGGCTAGAATAATGGCTGAGTAGGGTTTTTCCATGGTTACTGCCAAGATTGTGCCATCCACTGGTTTGGTTTTCTAATGCTTGGTTAGCCAACCGAAGAGGGCCATTTTGTAGCCTAGTGCTGAAATATGCTCTTCTGAGATTCCCCTTTGCTTGCATGTTTAATTCTAGACTCCCATAGCCAACAATTTCCGATTGGTTAGGAGGATGACCATAGCCAAATATTTGATTAGCAAATGGATAGGATGTGTTGGGAATACAGTGCCTTGCCTTGTTTTCCCTATTTTGTTGCATTACAACCTGTAATTTAAATTGATTTTTATTTGGATTCCATGTAATGGACATACACAAAATAGTCCAAATTGGTCAAGTGAAATGAAAAAAATAACTTGTTTCAAAAAATTCTAAAAAATAAATAATGGAAAAGTGGTGCGTGCATACAGTTGAAGTCGGAAGTTTACATACACTTAGGTTGGAGTCATTAAAACTTGTTTTTCAACCACTCCACAAATTTCTTGTTAACAAACTATAGTTTTGGCAAGTCGGTTAGGACATTTACTTTGTACATGACACAAGTAATTTTTACAACAATTATTTACAGACATATTATTTCACTTATAATTCACTGTATCACAATTCCAGTGGGTCAGAAGATTACATACATTAAGTTGACTCTGCCTTTAAACAGCTTGGAAAATTCCAGAAAATGATGTCATGGCTTTAGAAGTTTCTGATAGGCTAATTGACATCATTTGAGTCAATTGGAGGTTTACCTGTGGATGTATTTCAAGGCCTACCTTCAAATTCAGTGCCTCTTTGCTTGACATCATGGGAAAATCAAAATAAATCAGCCAAGACCTCAGAAAAAGCATTGTAGACCTCCACAAGTCTGGTTCATCCTTGGGAGCAATTTCCAAACGCCTGAAGGTACCACATTCATCTGTACAAACAATAGTACCCAAGTATAAACACCATGGGACCACACAGCCAATCAATCCCCTAACAACAGCAAAGGACCTTGTGATGATGCTGAAGGAAACAGGTACAAAAGTATCTATATCCACAGTAAAACGAGTCCTATATCAACATAACCTGAAAGGCCGCTCAGCAAGGAAGAAGCCACTGCTCCAAAACCCCCATAAAAAAGCCAGACTACGGTTTGCAACTGCACATGGGGACAAAGATCGTATTTTTTGGAGAAATGTCCTCTGGTCTGATGAAACAAAAATAGAACTGTTTGGCCATAATGACCATCGTTATGTTTGAAGGAAAAAGGGGGTACCTTGCAAGCCGAAGAACACCATCCCAACCGTGAAGCACGGGGGTGGCAGTATCATGCTGTGGGGGTGCTGTGCTGCAGGAGGGACTGGTGCACTTCACAAAATAGATGGCATCATGAGGAAGGAAAATTATGTGGATATAATGAAGCAAAATCTCAAGACATCAGTCAGGATGTTAAAGCTTGGTCGCAAATGGGTCTTCCAAATGGACAATGACCCCAAACATACTTCCAAAGTTGTTGCAAAATGGCTTAAGGACAACAAAGTCAAGGTATTGGAGTGGCCATCACAAAGCCCTGACCTCAATCATATAGAAAATGTGTGGGCAGAACTGAAAAAGCGTGTAGTCAGGCCTACAAACCTGACTCAGTTACACCAGCTCTGTCAGGAGGAATGGGCCAAAATTCACCCAACTTATTGTGGGAAGCTTGTGGAAGGCTACCCGAAAAGTTTGACCCAAGTTAAACAATTTAAAGGCAATGCTACCAAATACTAATTGAGTGTATGTAAACTTCTGACCCACTAGGAATGTGATGAATGAAATAAAAGCTGAAATAAATCATTCTCTCTACTATTATTCTGACATTTCACATTCTTAAAATAAAGTGGTGATCCTAACTGGCCTAAGACAGGGAATTTTTACTAGGATTAAATGTCAGGAATTGTGAAAAACTGAGTTTAAATGTATTTGGCTAAGGTGTATGTAAACGTCCGACTTCAACTGTATGTATTCACCCCTTTTGCTATGGAGCCCCTAAATAAGATCTGGTGCAACCAATTACCTTCAGAAGTCACATAATTAGTTAAATAAAGTCCACCTGTGTGCAATCTAAGTGTCACATGATCTGTCACATGATCTCAGTATATATACACCTGTTCTGAAAGGCCCCAGAGTCTTCAACACTACTAAGCAAGGGGCACCACCAAGCAAGCGGCACCATGAAGACCAAAGAGCTCTCCAAACAGGTCTGGGACAAAGTTGTGGAGAAGCACAGATCAGGGTTGGGTTATAAAAAAATATCTGAATCTTTGAACATCCCTTTGAGCACCATTAAATCCATTATTAAAAAAGGGAAAGAATATGGCACCACAACAAACCTGCCAAGAGAGGGCCGCCCACCAAAACTCACAGACCAGGCAAGGAGGGCATTAATCATAGAGGCAACAAAGAGACCAAAGATAACCCTGAAGGAGCTGCAAAGCTCCACAGCGGAGATTGGAGTATCTGTCCATAGGACCACTTTAAGCCGTACACTCCACAGAGCTGGGCTTTACAAAAGAGTGGCCAGAAAAAAGCCATTTCTTAAGCAAACACGTTTGGTGTTCGCCAAAAGGCATGTGGGAGACTCCCCAAACATATGGAAGAAGGTACTCTGGTCAGATGAGACTAAAATTGAGCTTTTTGGCCATCAAGGAAAACGCTATGTCTGGCGCAAACCCAACACCTCTCATCACCCCGAGATACCATCCCAGCAGAACCCATCCAACTTGAAGGAGCTGGAGCAGTTTTGCCTTGAAGAATGGGCAAAAATCCCAGTGACTAGATGTGCCAAGCATAGGAAAAATGCCAAGGGGGGGGAATACTTTCGCAAGCCACTGTAGTTCTAAAATGTAGAGACAGATGTAGAGCCATGTAGAGTCTAACATGTAGAGCCAGGAGGTCTTCCCTGACCATGTGACCTGATTAAGTAAAACTATGGACCCTAGCTATAGAAAGTTTTTCCTGAACAGGTCATCTGTGCAGGAAAAACTCCTGGCCCTGCTAACACTGCATGAGATACATAGGAGTAACATAATGGACATCATGCTTTTCATATTTAGGTCTCTAGTACACTGCTGGCTAGTTCCAGGACAGGGTGTGTTGTTTGCACTCTAAAATCAGCTGTGTAAACTGATTGTTTATACGAGCAAAGGCGATCACACACACATACTCACGCATACATGCATGCACATACACACACACACACACACACATAGCCAAGGCAGTCTGGTCATAGGAAACCACGGTCAGCTGAGGAGAACGAACGCCAGCCGGCGGAGCAGACCGCCATGTGCTGGAAATAACTGACCGTAATTAACATCAGTTTACTGCAGCACGCCACACCACACACACATACACTCACGCACACGCCACTAAGGCTCTTTCATGGCCCTGAAGGAGCGCAGCCCAGCGAAACTACCCAGCTGTTTTTAGACCAAATGACTGAGGTTTCATGTAGGAAGGGGTGGAGTATAGAAAAAAGTATTGCAGGGTATTGCAAAGGAAGTTCACCTAAGAACCTGCACTCAGTTGATGTTGTTGTTGTTGTTGTTGCTGTTCTTGTGGCTATTTTTAAAGTCAAGTTTTTCCTGACCACTTGATCAAACCTGAAAACACTCCTGGCCCCAGTTACTTTGTTACCACTTTTAAGCAGTGCATTTAATAAAAGTGTTATACAACATTATAAAGGCTCATAAATGCTTATAACAAGTTATACATAATTATATGTGGATGGTTAAGTAAAGTGTTTCCAATATATTTTTTTCTGCACATAAGGTTGCAGGTAACATGTTAAGAAGCTATAGTACTATTGTTAGAGTGGTGATGGTGTAGAGGAGTGGCTGTGTTATATTATTAACATGAGTAATTCTTCCTGCTAGTATAGGTACTTCACACCCCACCAGTCCCAGGTACAAGTTTAACTTCATAGCTGACGTGGTTGAGAAGATTGCTCCGGCTGTGGTCCACATCGAACTCTTCCTCAGGTACAGTGTGTTTGTGTAGGCAGACTCAGACACATATTTATGTCGTACTACAGTGTGTGTTGTGTCTGTAAAGTATGTGTAATACCCATTCACTTGTTGAAGAAAAAGCTCATGGTGGTTGAACCAAAATAATCACATTTATCACGTATAACTTACTGGTAGTAACTTCACAACAGTGTAGATCTTATGTAATCTCTCAATAAACACAAAACACATCAAAGCAAACTCTCGTCTTGTTGTTAGAGCTAGAAATGATAGACTTTCTATCTTGACCTCTTTTGACCTCTATATTGACCTCTTGACCCCCAGGCACCCTCTGTTCGGCCGGAACGTCCCTCTGTCCAGCGGGTCGGGCTTTGTGATGTCAGACACAGGTTTGATAGTGACCAACGCCCATGTAGTCTCCAGCACCACGCCTGTATCTGGGCGTCAGCAGCTCAAGGTCCAGATGCACAATGGTGATATCTACGAAGCAACCATCAAGGACATCGACAAGAAGTCCGACATCGCCACCATCAAAGTCAACCCACTGGTGAGAGGAGTGGATTAGGATTTGGGTCAATTCCATTTAAATTCCAGTCAATTCAGGAAATACACAGAAATTCCAAATCCAATTTGAATACTATGTTCTGGTTCACATAATAGCTGTATTGTATTCCACAATAAGAAGGCCTTACTGTTAAAAACAAGGGGAATAGGAACAAAGAAACATCAAAGAAAATAAAAAAGCTGGGGGAATTCCTGGACGTTAGTGAGTTGAATAGCTATTTGATGGATGTCATGAATGTCTGAGGGCACAAATAGTTATGACTAATGTCATATCCTGTTTGTGATAGGATTAATCACATCGATATGAGTCAGAAACATTTATTCTAGTGTCAAAATGTACTACAAAGTTTAAATAGGATAATTAATATACAAATATTGAAAGCATTTAATGAGACAACTGAAAGATGTGCAACATGAAAATATTGTCCCAATTACGTTGTGTAATTTATTGACAGTCCCTAACTAGCCCCAGAGATAGGCTCTCTATCCAATGTCAAACCAACTTTGCCAAGGTTGCACACCAGCCAGCTGAAACTAATTGGCGAAAGAAGTTAGCTAGCCTAGGCGACTTCAAGACACAAGTTATCTGGAAGGGTGAGGGACTGTAACTGTGTACTGAATGTACAAACGCTTGCCACGCGCGAGCACACACACAAAGACACCCAAATGAACCCCCCCCCCCCCCCCCAGACAAATCTCGTTTGGCTTCAGTCATGGCCGCTGTATTTCTTAATGGCCAAGATGAAAAACGAGGCCAAATCAGGAAATGTAACTCTTCTCTCCGGCCCTCTATCCTCCCTTCCGCCTTTCCCTTTCCATCTCCACCCCTCTCACCCTCTCTTTCGCTTGCTCCCCCCCCCCCCCCCCCCACTCTCCATCTCCCCCTCCCTCTCTCCCTCTCCCCTCTCTCTCTCTCTATCCCCTTCCTCCCTCTCAGAAAAAGCTCCCGGTGCTGTTGCTAGGCCACTCGGCTGACCTTAGACCTGGTGAGTTTGTGGTTGCCATTGGCAGCCCCTTCGCGCTCCAGAACACGGTTACCACAGGGATCGTGAGCACTGCACAGAGAGACGGGAAGGAGCTGGGCATCAGAGACTCTGACATGGACTATATACAGACGGACGCCATCATCAACGTGAGACAATCAATTCAATACAATTTAGCTTAACTTTATTTAAAGGGCAATTATAGCAGACTCCACTTATAACCAACTCATAAGGCTGTCTAGCTGTCTGTTTTTACATTTTAGAAGAGGACATTTATGATCATGGAGATCAAATACACAGACAAATACATACACATCTCATTGATTGACTGAATAATTGATTGATTCATTGTTTTGATATTTTCTCAGTATGGAAATTCAGGCGGACCTCTTGTTAACTTGGTAAGTGTTATGTCAGCCCCCACTTTTTCCCAATCTTCACTGTGATAATATTGAGTAGAAGCAGTTGTGAGACAGCCATAGAGCTTTTGAATACACTAGTATGAAAGTATCCCTGACCAAGATGGCCATCTTTTTGGTCACGTTACCAGGATGTCAATGTCCATTCTAGTGTTCTATTTAATTCAATGGAGCCAGCCCTGTTCTAAACCCCTAATAACCTGTCAACCTGTATTGTCTGCCATCAGGACGGGGAGGTGATCGGTATCAGTAGTGATCCAGTTCCTATACATAACACTCTGTTAAGTTGTTTGTCTGACTGCCACCAGGACGGGGAGGTGATTGGCATCAACACTCTGAAAGTGGCTGCTGGGATCTCCTTCGCCATCCCTTCTGATAGGATCACACGCTTCCTCAAGGAATCAATGGACAAGCAGAGCAAAGGTAGGCCCGCCCCTCCTCTATGATAGGATAAAACTCTTCCTCAACTAATAAATGGACAAGCAGAGCAAAGGTAGCTATGTCTGAGATAGACAGACAGCTATTAGCTACTAGTATGATCACATTATAATTCAACAAAGGCAAATTATGTATTATTATGTATATTAAAGGCAAATTATTGTTTTTTATTTTAAAGAAGTGAGATCATTGAAGAAACGGTTCATTGGAATAAGGATGCTCACCATCACCCCAGCGTAAGTCTTATACAAGCATGACACTGTGCAATATTACAGTTACCAATAATACTGTGTTAAACTAAAACAGACATTTCTAACTCGTCTTGTGTAGGCTGGTTGAGGAGCTGAAGCAGCAGAACCCAGACTTCCCTGATGTCACTAGTGGGATCTACGTCCATGAAGTGGTGCCTCATTCTCCTGCACAGAAGTAGGTGGCCTCTGTCAAAACTACCATACACTGTGCAAATAGCATAGTTTCCCTGAGAAGGGTCAAGATGAGTTTGTATGGAAATTTAGCGTAGACTATTTCATTACATCTCTTGGTTTTCTTTATCACTCCCTTTCATGCTTGTTATATGTTTACCCCAGTGTCTCTCTTTGCACTATAGCCTTTCCCATCTCAAAATAATATGTTTTTCCCCTCATCCTCCTTTCTCCACATAGAGGTGGTATCAGAGACGGTGACATCATCGTGAAGCTGAACGGTCGTCCTCTGCTGACCACAGCTGACCTACAGGGGGCGCTCACAGAGGAGACAGCCCTGCTGCTGGAGGTCAGGAGGGGTAATGACGACCTGCTCTTCAACATCCAGCCTGATGTCATTATGCAGTAACCCAGTAACCATGATGACAATGACCAGGAGTACTGTATTCACGATACATTTCTATCAGAACATTCTGTAAACGTTACAACGTCACTCATGAACAGGCTCCCAGCTGTTCAACATCGAGCCAGACGACGTCATCATGCAGTAACCACAGCAACCGTGGTGTGGAACCCGGGAGACTGAAAAAGTATAATGACCAAACAAAATAAAACAAAAAACTCTGGTTGAGAGCCCTATACACTGATAAAGTTGCCCCTATAGTCACTGATCTAGGGTCAATTTGTGTTTGTTTTGGGAGGGTAAAACTGATCCTAGATCAGTGCCTAAAGGGTGACTTTTAACTACTCAGAGCCAAAGGGAGAACGATCAACAAACAAGTCAAGAAACAGAAAACTGTGTTTGTTTGTTGGAACTTTGATCGGGAAACAATAGAGACTGACTGACCCTTGCTTGGGAAATCCAGCCAGAAAACTCTCTGGAGTCTGGATACATTTAGGACTGAATGTTGGAACGCCCAGTGAAATGAAACACTTGATTTTCATTGTTGTTGTATTTGTGTTTTGTATCATCTAACTGTCTTTGTCAAAGCATGCTAGCTGTTTTTTGAGACTCACTTACTCCCAATGCAAGTGGTCATTGGTAAGACAAGTTTAGCATATAGTTCATTCAAAGATTTGTCCATTGTTACACTGCTTTTATAGCCTTTTATCTGTTGAATAGAAGTTATTTCTGTACATGCGAGTAGCTATGTGTCCAATGCTTTCAGTTTGAAACCATTCCATAACCAACTGTGAATGTTGTTTTTTGGTCAGTTATAAGTTGAAAGTAAGACCACATTTGGTCAGACATGTTCAGTTATAAGTTGAAAGAAAGACCACATTTTTATTCAACTGGTAAAATGTGAGCAAATGTCTGATTGAATCTCACTGTTACTGGATTCTTGATGTCTTCTACTATAACTGACCTGTTGGTAACACTTTACATTAATGTCCCTAAGGGTTTATAAAGGGTTTGTAAAGGTGTTATAAGCAGTTTATAAACAGTTTACAATACTGACTTGTGCTTATAGTATGAATAAATAAACTCACTTTACAGTCAGTTACTTATATCTTAATCATTATGACTTAAGAACAGATTGAATGTTTACATATCTGGATTCCTTACCAACAGGCTATATCAATGGGAGTGATAAAATGTGTATAAAATAAAATACATTGCTGTATAGGACGTTCTTGCATTGACCCAGTGAGATGTGTGCCGGTACATGCGTGTGTGTCTGTGTGACTCCCTTGACAACGTTTTGCTGTACTTGGACATGGCTGACGAGGAAGTTAGGAATGTTTATTGCTGCAGGCTGTAACGAGCTTAGCCGTGTTTAAGTACAATCAGGGTATTGTGGCTGCTACACATGCACACACGCACTGAAGGGGGCATACTTTTCCACCCTCCACCAGCACAATCAGGCATGGCGTAAAGTGAAGATGTATGTATGTTAAGGTCCTAAGAATAGTCATACAGTTTTACTTGTCTTGTCACAGGTCATACATTTATGTCTAATATCCTAGGAGGATGTCCTAAAGGAAACTGGGAGAGTTTCATACACAATTTACTGTCATGGTATACTTGGTTGTGTGTGCATTGTTGGCTAATATCCTTAATGCAGCTACTGCTAAGTTAGCTCTGTATAAAAACTTGACATGTTGTTATGACTGAAAGAAAATTCAAACAAAGCTTTAATTGCAACTTATATCTAAGTGGGTGCTCGTGCTGGCTCCTTTTTCCCCATTTCTGATGTGATGGATTGTTGGCTCCAAGGGCCCTTTGATATATTTACCTAAGAGGTTGAGTTGAGCATGTTCTCGCCCTGTAACTGGTGAATAGGGCTATACATGTAACTGCAGATCCATTGTTTATGAAGCATAACAACCTTATTGGGTGTGCCTCGACTAATAAGTATTTTCAGTGTGAAATCTCTCTTTGATCTCACAAAACAATAAAATGATTTTCGTCTGGGTTGAGTTTTCACCCATCAATATTGACTATACGACTTAGGTCATGGTTTATCCATCTTGCTCAAACACAACCCTGTTGAAACCCTTTATGAATATTATCATCATCACAATAGGGTGTTGCCCCTCAACTTCACTCTTAACCCAATGAGTAACCAATCACCACTTGGAACTTAGAACTTGGAACTTCTTGGAAGGAGGAAGGAACCTTACAGCCAAGTAACACGTTTGGTTTTAAGCTTTGTGATTCCAGAAACGATTTCTAGGTAAAAGGTATTAAAAAGAAACTCAATCTATTCTCCATCCTGCTTTAGTTTGAGTCGCTCAAACAAAGAGAAACCAGGGGCCATATGTATCAAGCATCTCAGAGTATAATAGCTGATCTAGGATCAGGTCACTCCTGTCCAAATAATCAAATTTATTATGACGTAAAATGCAAAACTGATCCTAGATCAGCACTCCTACTCTGAGACGCTTTCTCAATACAGGTTCTTATTCCAGAGGTTGAAACATTGAAGAAAGTCCAGATAGAAATACATCATGATGAACAGATAATATTCTTTGTCATGGACCATAATCTATCATGTCTGCTCTATAAATTAAATTTCTATCTGCAACACTAACGTTTCAGCCTTATGAACATGCACATTTCGGTTTTGCGGAGTAAGTACATTGGAAGATTTACTCAGACATACAGGAGATTTGTTGGTGGTTAAGACAACGACATGAGATATAGATATGGGTGATTCTACAGAAGTGGTGCAAATTACAGTCCCACCCCAAAAAAAAACAATTAAAAAAAAACAGTTATATCTCCAATCTTAAGACATTTATTTACATCATGATATGTTCTAATTCCATCCAAGGTAATAACAAACATATTGTTAAATTATTATAGTACAAATCATTGTTTATACACCTATTACTATTGAGAGGTGGCTGTCATGTTTGAAAATAAAGCAATTAATGATTTTTGTCATTTTCTAACACTATTATTTCACTAGAACATCTTTAGTCGTTCTATTATTACATGAAAGATACTGATCTAATAAGTAGTTTTGTTTATTTTTAAATATCTTTCTCTTAAAAATGCTGTCCCAACATTTGATGTCACTATGACTAAAATGTACTACCGAAACACACACTTTAAAATAATATGCCATTTAGCAGATGCTTTTATCCAAAGTGACTTACAGTCATGTGCGCATACATTTTTACGTATGGACTGTAGAATGAATGTGCCTTAAACTACAACCCTACAAATATCACCAGGTGATGGGATTGCACCCCTCTCCAGCATGGCAACATGGTGAGTAGTCTGTCTGCAAACATTTTGGAGAAAATTTGGGCGTAAGTCGATAAATCTTCATATATTTTTAAGAAGTATCACTACTAACATCTAATATATCAAGAAATATGTAAAGTATGGTTTTGGGACTAAAATATATGTTTTGCTGGGATGTAAATCTGTCCAAATGAAAAATAGAAAGCGATATGTTAGCTATGGAGATCCAAAATAAGTCAAAATTGTACAAACCGAAATGGTCACAACAGAAACAATTAACACCATAGAGATGTATAGAGGTCTCATCTTTGTATCTGTGCCATTATGGTGTCTGTGACAGCACGGGCAGCACCATTGAGGCTATCTCCATTTTAAAGTTGCACAATTCATGCTCTACTAACGGAGCTACAGAGGACCACCATGTGGGTAGTGGCCAAGTGCACACTTCAGGAAAAAGTGTAGAGTATTAAGTGAGATACATAGCCACCAGAGGGGCTCCAACCATCCAAGAGCCCAAACATCTATTTAGCCAAAACGTAGACATCTATAATGTGCTATACTGTACGGCATGGTACTGTACTGTGCTCTACTGTACTGTACTGTACTCAGGTTTACTCTACTTGAGTTTCTTGCATTTGAAGAAAGGGCCCATGGACTCTTAATCTAGTGGTCTTGGTCTTGAGACCACTCAGGACCACATACATCTGGTCTTTAACTTGTCATGGTCTCAACTCACTGGGTCTGGATCTTGGGACCTATGTCCTGGTATAAATCTTGGTCTTGCCTCCTGGATATTACCTTATTCTTTCGTTTACAAACCATAGACAACCCAATTTGAAGAAGACAATGCTCTCTGATCATTGGCTGATCACTCTCAACCCATAGGAATCCCCACCCAGTTGACTACTTTTAAGTGGTGGAAGACCTCAATGGCAATGTCCATGCTAAAACAGGTTATATCCATGATGAGTCCTCCATTTACATCCTATTTTGCCTAAATAAAGATAGGTCAAATTATAATCTAAACATCTAACAACATGATTAATTAAATGCATAAGTAATTCAATCAATCAGATTCATACAACCAACATTGAACATTTTACAGAGAACAATATAAATTATATTTCTCTAAATTCACTGTAAAGGTTTTGAAAATCAGGTTAAAAATCATGATTTTGCTATTTTGTTAATTTGGTATGCAAATACAAATGTTAAAATTAATCTGTAATAGAAGGTTAATCAAAATGATTCTGGTAAATATTTCAAATATGCAATACAAACAAAGTGTGTGAGTAGTATATATGTCTACCTGAAAGTTGTCTACCAGAAAGTTTGGGAAAAATAGGATACAAATAAGCTTCTTTTTTTTACCCCCAATTTACAGTATCAGTCAAAAGTTTGGACACACCTACTCATTTAAGGGTTTTTCTTTATTTTTTACTATTTTCTACATTGTAGAATAATTGTGAAGACATCAAAACTATGAAATAATACATTTGGAATCATGTAGTAACCAAAAAACAAATAGCCACCCTTTGCCTTGATGACAGCTTTGCACACTCTTGGCATTCTCTCAACCAGCTTCACTTGGAGTGTTTTCCAACAGTCTAAAAGGAGTTCCCAAATATGCTGAGCACTTGTTGGCTGCTTTTCCTTCACTCTGCCGTCCGACTCATCCCAAACCATCTCAATTGGGTTGAGGTCGGGGG